TAGAAGTTCATCAAATTGAAGGCACGTTACACAAAAGTAATTGAAATATTTATTTGGGTCATTCCGGTCATTCAGTCGAACCAGGCAGTAATAATCTCTGCTTCGATCACTACAGACTACAGCTCCTTTTTCAGCTTCTGGATACATAATTAGCTCTACGATAGAAATGATAAAATAAAATGAATTCGTTCAGAGTATCCATCCTGCGGAGAAAATTTAATCGAATGAAGAAATGATGAAATTTCCAATTGTTATTCTGTAATAACCTGTCTCCTTTTTTCGGCCTTTGCTGTCCTCTCCTAATTCCCCAATTTTGATGTCACCAAAATAACAACACATTTTATGCATACTGTGTGGTTTATGATTTCATCCGAATTCGTAAAAAAGTTCAAATATTTCAACTTCATTGCGATATTCGCAGTCGCCATTATATTCGCATAAATTTTGCGGAATTCGTACAAGCATGAATATACCTTAATGGTACCGGAAGTATATGTAGTATACATTGGCTGCGCTGAATATGGGCGTTTGCTATCGGTGAAGCAATAAATAATAGGCCAAACGTCTCACATGATATCTGTTGAGCGCCATTTTGAATCGATAGCCATTTTGATTAGAATTCTTAGGTTGTGTCGACCCTGAGTGTTTCTTCCGACAAGCACCAGAAGGTCACGTGGCATACGTCATCTGTCAAACATCATACGTATCGTCAGTTGAGTGCCACTTCGAATCGATAGCAATTTTGGTTCTAATTCGTAGGTTATGGCGACCCTGAGTATCTGCTTTCAACGAGCACCAGGAGGTCACGTGGTATACGTCATCTGTCAAACATCATATACGTATCGTTATTTGAGCGCCATTTTGAACCGTTAGCCATTTCGACGGCTTGAGTGCCTGCTTTCGACGAGTACCGGAAGGTCACGTGGTATACGTCAGTTGTTGAATGTCATACGTCGAACGTTAGCTGAACCAGAGCGTATAGCTTCAATGAGCACCGGAAGTATCATTAACGGCTTATAAACTGGTCAACATTGATAACGTCGTGCTCCAAAATATAGCCTGAATTCAAAGTAGAATAACACGAATTTCCTCACCAATTTGAAATCGGTTTTCACCGATTTTTTTTTCTCCTACCTTAATGGCCATGGACATTAGTCCTTCAGCCACACACAATTTAAATTTTTCGTTTATATTTCAATATTGTTCATTGTTATGAATTTGACCAATATGTCAAAAATGTTTTTGTCCCCTGTAGTAAGCAATACGTTTACCTACTGTTGTCGGTAGCTGAGCCCCGACCTTTAATTTCTTGAGAGTCTGTTGTGGCAATATGAAACTTCTGTAATTTCAGATAACATTGCTACAGGGTGATAATTGAATGGGTGTAAAATTGCATCGTGGTCGTCACCTTACCGTTTGAACAGATAATTTTTGTAATTTTTTTTCTCACCTGTATCCTCTTGATTGATGCTTTCTCTCGAAACATTTTCGGAATTTTCAAATTCAGAGCTTTGATAATCGTGTTATGAATATTCATTCAGAATGATGCATTTTTTCGACGATTAATTGAACGAAATTGAGAGTTGGAATTCATCTCCGAAAAATCGTTGTTGTATGTATACAGGGTGATTCACATAACAACCGACATAGGGCAGGGGCATGTAGGGGGTCCCAAAATATGTCAATTTAACGCAACTTATCTCTATACCAAGTTGCTTCCCTAAGGAGTTATAGGCATAGCACTAACAGCATATCAACTTAGTCGTAAAAGAAAACTACCCGTTCATTTTAAAAACACTCAAACAACAATTACTTAATTGAACAACTCACTTGCCTCATTGTCAAGTTTGATGTTTATTTTCATAGCCAACTTTTGAATTTTCGATGATTTTGAATAACACACCTACAGCGCGCGTTTTCAGCGATTCGAGTTTTTGATGAAAATGATGAGGTTTTTTGAAAAATTACTAGAGTCAGAAAAGTTTTAGAATCGAATTGCCCACAAAACAAAGCAAAGATTTTCGAAATCCATCAAGTGTTAACAAAATTATGTTGAATATTAATGGTGCGCCACCCGGTATACCCCCTTTACAAATTTCAATTGAACTCTAGTTACTGTCAAGTAACGCCCTAAATACATCTACAAAGTGTACCAAATTTGATTGCTTTAAGTTCAAGAATAACGGAGATATTGATTTCTTTCAAAATTTATAACTTCATTTTCAAAGCCTATATCTCCTTAGGGAAGCAACTTGGCATGGAGGTAAGTTGCGTTAAATTGCCATATTTTGAGATCCCCTACATGCCCCTGTTCTATGTCGGTTATTATGTGAATCACCCTGTATATAGTCGTCGGATATGTGATCGTGTTCGAACACAGAAAATTCTGAAAAAGTCTATACAAAGTGATACAAGAAATACTGAATGATGGAATGGAGAATAACGTAGTTTTCAGTAGATGGAACATGATTTTCTCTGTGTTACTACTGGAATAATGGAGTGTTACTTCGTCATGAGGATGTCTGGTGCCTGACCTCGAAATGGTTTTATAATTTCTTGGATCGAAGGTCATATAATGAAAGTACGCATTTTCAATCGAAATGATGCATTTTTGTTAAGATAAATTATAAAATTCAAAAAATTACGATTGTAGTTCCAGAAGTATGTAATTCATATTTATTCTTGACGATGGATATACAAGGTGCGATAAAAAATATGTTCAGATTGTCCTGGGATGAAGAAGGATATGTTTTAACGTGATGAAAATCAAAATCCGAAAGAGGAATATAATGTCGTTCATTGCCGGAAATTGTGAAATGTATAAATATAGTAACGTTTCATGAGGTTTATAAAAGGAAATATGAAAGAGACTGCAGAATTGCCACAGATTCGATTGCATGTCTTCATACTAATGAAGATAAAGACAGTAAGTCCTCATGGAGTTATACGAGGTAATATGAAAGAGACCTCAAAATTGCCATATATTCGTGCATACTTCTTATCGTTGCATCTTATACTGATCTAGCACCTACAACATGGTCTTCCGAAGAAAACTTTCCTCATTGTTACTCAGTGTAAAGTTGAATGGAGATAGAATAATTCTTGAATGCTCATTTCTGCATCATCTTTTCCACAGGGTGATTCATAAGGAATTCATAATATCTCACCTAATGTTATAGATTCGACGAATTCCGTTAAAAAAAATATAAATTTCCTAACTTATACTCACAATTATTGCCATAACGTTTTCTCACTTCAAAAAAATTCTAATTGCATATTGGATTGACGTTCATTTCAATCTGTGGAGTCCCGTTCATATTACCTCGTATAAGCCTCATGAGGATACTGTATTCATCTTCATTAGTATGAAAAACATTATATCGAATATATAGCAATTCTGCAGTATCTTTCATATTTCCTCGTATAAACCTCATGAAAAGTTACTGTTTTTATACATTTCACAAATTTCGACAATGACCGACACTATATTTCTTTTTCGGAACATAACGATTTTCATCACGTTTAAACATATCCTTCATCCCGGGACAATCTGGACATATTTTTTATCACACCTTATATATCTATCGTCAAGAATGAATATGAATTTCATACTTCTGGAAGAACAATCGTAATTTTTGGAATTTCATAATTTATTTTAACGAAAATGCATCATTTCGATTAAAAATGCGTACTTTCATTATATGACCTACGATCCAAGAAATTACAAAACCATTTCGAGGTGAGACACCAGACATCCTCATGACGGAGTAACACTCCATTATTCCACTAGTAACACAAAGAAAATTATGTTTCATCTACTGAAGACTACGTTATTCTCCATCCCATCATTCATTATTTCTTGTATCACTTTGTATAGACTTTTTCAGAATTTTCTGTGTTCGAACACGATCACATATACGACGACTATACATACAACGTTGATTCTTCGAAAAAGAATTCTAACTTTCAATTTCCTTCTATTAATCGTCGAAAAAATGCATCATTCTGAATGAATATTCATGACACGATTATCAAAGCTCTGAATTTGAAAATTCCGAAAACTTTTCGAGAGAAAGCATCAATCAAGAGGATACAGTTGAGGAAATAAATTGAAAAAATTATCTGTTCAAACGGTAAGGTAACGACCACGATGCAATTTTACACCCATTCAATTAACACCCTGTGCTAATCATCGGTGAAAACCGATTTCAAGGAAATTCTTCTTTGAATTCAGGCTATATTTTGGAGCACGACGTTATCAATGTTGACTAGTTTATTATCTATCATATGTGAGCTGTCATCTGTCGAATGTCATACGTCATACGTTGGATGTAATCTACCAAATGGGATATGTTAATCATGAGACACCTTGTATATTCTCAATTTTTTTTCTCTGAATCAGGTTTTTCGGATCTACCCTGTATATCATACTTCATTTTATTATTGTAGTTGTGTTATTTTCATTCTTATCGGCTGCTTGCGGTTAGTTCGCTCGTTGTAGCCGGATGTAGATTGCGGTTAGTGGGCGTGGCCTCCAACCAAATGCTGGCCTCTGATTGGCTAGCAGAGTCACGTGGTGGAAATTCTCTTTCAAATGGAACACTGTATTTATTGCATCTTCAGATTCTTCCTAATGAGCTGATTCCTACAATGTACCATACTTGGGCACTAGCGGGAATTTTGTTCTAAAATTGTTCTAATTCTAATCCATCATTCGGTTGCCCCCTTACGAGCAACCCTCAGAAGTCTTCAAGAGCGAGCAAGGAATGGCGTGGGTCTTATCTTTTAACGTGTGATCCCAAACACTTTCTTAGGCCAATAACGGCTAAATATCAAGTGAAGATTATATCATGATAGCCCAATAACTAAGTTCAGTGTATGATTGCTTGGTGGCAGCACATACGGGTAATGGCAAAGATTCCATTTGTTTTTTGTTGATTTACGAGAATTTTTTCAAAGTTTTGGTTATGTAGGTATCTCATGAAATATCAAAACATGCTATTTGCCTTTCGCTGCTGAGCTAATCTCGTAATTTCATTGATATTTTCTCTTATTTTGCATTATTTCTTCGTATTATTATAATATTGGTTGGGATGGAATCAATTTGTTTGAATTCCTCAGTGACATCAGTTTGTGAAAAGAATCGTTTTCTGCAATTTTGGAAGGAATGGGTAAGAATAACAGTTCTGTAGATGTACCTATGACCTATTGAATGATATCGTTAATGACTCATTTATTTCAGCATTAGAACATTCTGAAGTGGGTGAATATTCTTGCATTTACACAAATCATTTCCAGAAGAGCTGCATATCATGAGTTTTCCAGAATGGCAGGAAGCGCCTAATAAAAGGCTCTCGGTCTCTACAATATTTGAGGTATGTAACACTTTTATTTTGTAGTGTTGAATGAACAAATAGTATACCCAACTGAAGGTATTGTAATTTTTGATTTTCCTACTTTTGTCTTTGCTCTCTATACAGTGTGAACCTCAGTCCAATATAAATCAATGTGCATTATTCAATCTCTAATTACCTATAATTCATCTTCAAATTTCAAATGTGTTCTCCACATCACTAGTTTCAGTATCTATGAATCAGCAGATGAACTCGTCATATTTTTCCATTGTTGCAGTTGATTTATAAGAGCCAAAATACTCATGTTTATGTATTGATAATCTGATGGCAATCAATAGTATTTGTAAAAAAACGAAAAGAAGTTTTGTTTGTAAACCCTGCAGTCTTGAAATGATCAACAATGTTTTTAATTTTTTGTGAGACATAAAATATTGATGTTTAAAATAAGTTTTAGCAACCTGCAGATGCCTGGATGATACCCCTACTTACTATAGACTGTGTGTTCTCAAATGTAAGTACCTAACACCTAGTGATTCCAGATTAATAGTTTTCATAAACATGATTCAATCCTCAACCAATCTGAGCAGGTCTAACATTGAGAATTGATTATATAAATCAGAATGGCAAATTCATGATTTACCTTTGCCCTTCATTTAAGATGTTTTAACAGGTTTAAAAAAAACTCCTCAAGCCATAGTGCCCTGACTGTTCGATTTTGTTGAAAGAAGAAAGATTGATAAATGACTGCTCAAAAACTATATGAGGAAGTACTAGTATTTTTTCTAAATTGAAATCAGGCTTCCTGATTATATTCCAGGAGTCGTTTTAATTCTTTTTCATTTTTTTTGTCAGTCAGTCTGTATATTTTTTATTCACTTCTCAGTATTGAATAACTAATCCATCAATGTTTGACACTAAATGATCAGAAATAAGTGGAACTGATGTCACTTTTCCTTTGAAAAAAACATTGATGATGGATAGAAATAGGTCGAAACACATTCGAATCACCTTGTGTCATACATGGTTGAATTCAGAATGAAAAAACCTTTCAGAATCTGTGAAAAAATTATCAGGACCGTATTCAAAAAGCAAAAGTTGATGATGGTTCAAGGAATACGAAATTTCGCATACCAAAATCGGTATCACCACGTTAAACGTCATCAAAAGTTGCTTCAAAAAAGTATTTTCAGTTTTTCTGTATCTCTAATAATAACGGAGAAAAAAAATAAAATAGATATTCCAAAAATTAACTTTTTTCGATATAACTCAAAAACAAGAAATAATTTTAAAAATTTTCGAAGGCTCTTGATATGAGCCTCCGAATGCGCAACTTTTTCCCCATTCAAACGACTTCGTATTTCCTACCGTTTCCGAGATCCCCATGCTGTTCAACCTTATCTTGGACAGACTGTATATATGTACAGCGGAACTAGCGCTTGGTTTGGCGCCATGTGGCCATGGGATGCCTCGTATAATCCTCAGAGGAAATAGGAAAATTAATCTCTTTTTAACTAATTACTCTGTGGAAACCTCTATCTATTGTTGTGTGTATGTTCCTTATCCGAATGAAACACCCTGTTTATAATCGCAATATTCCAAATATTTTAATTGGTTTGAACAATAATCATGATAATTATCTTGTTTCGAATTGACTCGGTCGTTACTTGATGGAAATTCATAAATTTAAAAAACTTCACAAACGATGAGATTTTCACTGAAATTCTTAAAACATGACATATTACATTGCAGGGGCGTCATTTCAGTGGATACGAAGGGGGGTCAAGAAACTCAGATAATTTTACATTGTGAAAAATGCGCCGCAGACGAAATTTCTTTGGGGTTCAAGGTCAAATACGGTAAAATTGAAAATTAAATTTCTTTCAGAGTGACAACACATCACATAATTATATCATCATAAATTATTCAGTTATATATTCTCACTAGCTGACCCGGCAAACGTTGTTTTGCCATACAAATTATTTCGAGAAAAAAATTTTTCAGATGAATATTAATCAATAAACTTTTGATATTTTATTTCTACTCCTTTTCAGTTTGGCTATCCATAAAATTTTTTATATAAAAATTCGTTTCATTAGTTTTTCAAACTACTATTTATTGCAATAGCTGATATCCGGCAAACGTTGTTTTGCTATAGGTATACATTTATATCTAGGAAATATGTTTTTAGTCAAGTATTCATCAACACAATTTTACTATTGTGTTTTCTACTTCTTTTCAGTTTGGCTATCCATAAAATCGTGTTTCATCAGTATTACAAACTACTATTTTTATTTTTTACTTCTTGTTAGTTCGACAGTCTATCTCGTTTTTTAAACTATACTATCAATTTTCTACTTCTATTCAGTTGAGCGTCGGGTTTGGCTATCCATTAAAGCGTGTTCAATTATATTTCTTCAAACTACTATTCATAACAAAGCTCTTTCGCCATATTGGATCCGCCATCTTGAATTTCCCAATTCTAAATAATAAAATCATAATCTCCGACCCAAAAAACCCCCAGATACAAATTATGAATAGAATCGGATCATAATTACAAAACTCGTCTGCCATATTGGATCCTCCATCTCTAATTTCCTAATTTTGATGAAAGAATCATAATCTCCGACCTCAAAATCCTCCAGATACAAATTTTGAATGAAATCGGATCATAGTTACAGAACTCGTCCGCCATATTGGATCTGCCATCTTAGTTTTCCAAATTTTGATGAAAGAATCATTATCTCCGACTCTGGAAACCCCCAGATACCAATTTTGAATGGAATCTGAACATTATTGAAAAACTCGAACGCCATATTAGTTCCGCCATTTTGAATTTCCTAATTTTGACGAAGGAATCATAATCTCCGACCTCGAAAACCCCCAGTTACCAATTTTAATAGAATCTGACTATAATTACAAAAGTGATCCACCATATTGGATCCGCCATCTTGAATTTCAAAATTTCGACGAAAGAATTATAATCTCCGACCCCGAAAACCCCCAGATACCAATTTTGAATAGAAGCGGATCATAATTACAAAACTCGTCCGCCATATTGGATCCGCCATCTTGAATTCCCAAATTTTTACGGAAGAATCATAATCTCTGACCCCGAAAACCCCCAAATACCAATTTTGAATGAAATCGGATAACAATACCCGTCCGCCATATTGGATCCGCTATCTTGAATTGTCGATTAAAAAATAGATTACGACCGATTCTCATACCTACCAAATACGCACAAAAAATTTCATACGAATCGGTCGAGCCGTTTCGAAGGAGTTCGACCACTAACACCGTGACCAGGACAGGAGATCAAAATTCTGAATCTTGGACCATCCTGTATTTTTTTTCAATTAAATGTCGGTAGATAGTTAATCAAAAGTTAATATAGGGACATGTAAGCCGTTTTGACCAATGATGAATAGTTTCGACACAAAAAAATCCTAAAGTTGAAAAATCTCGATTTTGAACATCCTATATATCTCTGTAATAATTCCTGCTAGACCCCAAGTGTGATACATTGATGAAATCAGCTCTTCGAGAAGAATCTAAAAACGCAATAAAATACAGGGTGTTTCATTTGAAATAACAAAGATGATGCTACTTTTTGGTAAAAGTGGTAACGCTGCTTCGCTGAAAATATTTTGAATCGTTAGATCACAAACGCTTATTAGAGTAACCAAATTTTCAGGATAATCCAATGTACCGTTTTACGTATATACGTCTAAGGTACCATCAACCGTGGGCCACCCTGTATACCCGAAACGTGTGGATGCCGTGCCAATTTTTTTTTATGTTCTGAATTGAATAATGTCGTAATTAGGATGAAGTATGAAATAAAAATTTTGAAAGATCTATTTTAACGCCTATGAATGTAACGTGACAGCAATGTCATGTCAGGGACGCCAATACACGAAACCAAAGTCACTAGTTATGATTAAAAGAGAAAGGAGCTATGATCTGTCCGTACCCTGTTAAGTAAGATGACAAATACGTCAGTTTGCATAAAGGGACCCTAGCAGTAGGTAAAGTATAGTACGTAATGCGTGCTGTGAAGCAATTACGCACTTGCCGCTCCGCGGCTACGTGCGTAACTTCTCCATTCGTGCGTAATATGCTTCTTACAACACATTACGTCATATACTATTATGGACCTTGACGTGTTACTTACACGCTGCGGCCCACAGAAACCTATTTACGCCCTTCATACATAAATAACTATTAGGTTTGGAAACTATGATATATTAGTTGAGCAAGTCATTGTAAGTTTAGTTTATGGTACCAATATTTCACTTGAAGAAGCTACTGTATTAGCGAATCATGTCGTGTTATTCAGAATTCCTGTGCAGCTCTTATCGTTTGTGAAGTTTTTTTACATAATAATTATATTTGTTGCACCATTAAAGGAACATTGATTGCTACATTATTATTTAACTAGCAGTTGGATCTCGCATCAAATAGTCTTCAACATGTGGTGGATCATTCTGATTACGTTGTCGTTAGTTTTGATTCATTATCTGATGACAAAAAATTTTGATTATTGGAGAAATAGATCCGTACCTGGACCTCATCCATGGCCTCTAGTAGGAAATATTGGACCGAGCTTTATTGGGAGACGATCTACAGGAGAAATAATCAAAGAAATATACAGGTAAATTTATTTTTCTGCAACCGACACAAAAGTCGTCCATTTTGATACCAAAATCAGCTCTTAAATTGACGTTTCTATTACTGACACAAAAATAGGTATGTTGCTAGGCAACATATTTAGTTCCTAGGAGCTAAAGTTGAATTTTAGTTCCTAGGAGCTAAAGTTGAACTTTAGCTCCTAGGAACTAAAAAGGATCTACTGGACGTCATCAAGAATAAACAACATTGTGACGATTGGTTATTTGGGTTGAGACGCATACCTGATTTGTTTCCGATTCCAGCAGATTTGGCATTTCATACCCATGCTGGAGATTTAAATACATCTTATAATAGTTGAGTATTGGAATTATAAACATGTCAGTTAAGTATTTTTGTTTTGATCAGGGAAGCCTTCAAGATTCAAATACTTGCTTGATCTCTATTTCATTCGTTATTCTCGGGATGGATAACTTGTTTTTGAATAATCACGGCAAGCAATAGTTTTTTTGTCTCAAACAATGATATTGTTTAGCTTCATTTGATTATCAAGTCACAGTGTAGTATGGAGAGGAATGAATAATCACTATTATCATTGTTGATATGCTCACTAACCTAACATTTTCCACGTCTTGTTCCTATAGCTAGCACTGGCGCGGTATTTGCCATTAGAGCACCTGGTCCATACACAAATATGTCACTCTTTGGTTGTATTTATATTGAAACTACAATCCGAACATCCTTGAAAACCTAACCTGCTGTTAATGCAGGTAGAATATTCTCACCACATGAATTATTTGTCAATATTTGTTGCATTGCATACATATGGCACGGCATTGGTGGTTACTTTACATGTTTATTCGAGTTAATTGTTTCGGTTGCAGAAAAAATAGCATGTTTCATTCGGATCAAAAGTGACTTTGTTCGACTCGCAAATTTTGCTTTCGCTCGGCTTCGCTAAACGCTCCGCCTCGCAAATGCAAAATTCGCTTGTCAAACAAAGTGTCACTTTTGATCCTAATAAAACAATCTACTATTATGCACGACCGGGCGTAAAGTAGCAATTGACTGCCCAGTTTTGCGGGTGTAAAGTGGCACTTTATCGCCCAGCGTATCGGTAAATCGTGATAAATATTCCTGTATGAAGCAGGACATTTATATTTTAGTTGTGATAGTTCATCTATACTAATATTATAAAGAGGAAATATTTGATTGTTTGTTTGATTGTTTGTTTGTATAGAATAGGATCCAAAACAACTGACCGATACAAAAAATTCTTTCACTATCAGAAGCCGATATTATCCCTGATGAATATAGGCTCTATTTTTTACCGCGAGAAAATGCTTCTTTCCTACGGGAAAACGGGTAATGGGACTAGAGGTAGTAAGAATTATCCTTCCGTACTTATATTTTTCACATAACTTCTAACCGGCTGGACCTGGATGATTTAAAAATATAATTGGACGCGGTAGGTGGCGCTGCTGTCATTACGTCAACTACTAAACGACTTGACCGATTGGTTTGAAATTTTTAATACGTAAAACAACAACAAGATATACAAAAGATACTGAGATAATGAAAATAGGTGTAAGTATACCAATAGTAGCTATAGATATACACGAAAAAATAAAAAAAATAACAAAAAAATATTCACTGTGCACCCTAGGCCATGGCCCAGGTTGGCCTTGTGGGTACCCTAACACACATCCTAGGGACTTCCCTGGGACTTCCCTAATTTTATACGAGGACATTCCAGAGATATCCTTTGTCGGGACAAAGTACATACTAGGGACGTCCCAGGGATATCCGCTGGCCGACAAAAAAGGCATCCAAGGGATGTCTTTCTGGTACGTCCCTGGGATGTACCAAGTACGAAGAAAGGATATCCCTAGGACGTCCCAAAGATATTCCAGGGGCATCTGATCGACAATAGAAAACAAATTTATGGCCGAGTAGGAATTGAACCCGGAACCTTCAGCTTATCAGGCACGCACCTTACTCCATAGGCTAATATGCCTTATGAAGATTTATGAACTAAACAGATTTATTAACAGGACTAAACTACAGAAACCTGAATAAATACAACTTTGTTAGGATTTGGGTATAATTATTATCATTCTTGGGTGTTTAAAAATGAGGGGTATTATGCATTTACGATTTCAGTTTGCGAAAAATGGTCATTTCTTGAGAAGTTCTGAGACTATATTCTTTATTTTCATTACAATTATTTTCCGAAAAAAAAAACAAACATTTTCAAAAAAATTCAACTCAATATTTTGATGAAATTCAATGACTCTGATGTGGATGGATATCAGATATTCCAGGGACACGAATAGGATAACCTAGGGATGTACCGGGCGGGATGTCCACTGGACAACCACTGCGGGACATCCCCAGGATGCCCCAATCATGTCCTTGTACCACTGGACAAAAAAGGGAAGTACCTAGGACAACCCTGTGTTGTTAGGGTGATCAGGGCCTGCTGTTATAGGTGCTAATGTAGATTTAGGTACCTCCTGTAGCTCATGGGCATATTCCCAACTCCCCATGGTGGGCATATTGCTACACATGAAGTTAGACTAGGTTTGATTATGTTTTTGTCTTGAGTGTTAGCTCAAATTCATTTGCTTTTCATAGGTAAAATCACGATGTTCTGAATATTCGAGATAATTCTGTCGCTTATTCATTGTTCACGAAACAGCAACACAATTGAGTGAACAATGATACAATGACAGAATTATGAGGATATTCAGAAGAGAGTGATATTTTGCTAGACTTTTTCACGTTCACGAAGCATAACAAGCATTTATAATAAACGAGTGATTCATCATGACAAGTACAGGCATAATTATTTTATGTCAAACTAACAGACTTTGGTTCGCTATTCATGGTTACATCGTTGAAAACATCACCATAATCTAAGCTTCAATATGGAACACAAAATATTGCAGTTCATTAACATTATCTTTTATTTTCTATAATAAAAAACTTAAGGTTGTTGAAATATTATACCGGCGTCTTAAAAAAAATTATTTTTAGCGACACCAGTCTGATAACGCTTGCAACTGGCTGTCTAACCGACTAAAATCTGACAGTAGGTTAACAGAAAACTGTTTGTATATTGCGCATATTGTATTGAAATTCCTTATTTGTTATTTAAACATATTTTCAATTAAAATGAAAATTGAATTCTCATCAAACATTTATTTCATCATGGAACAACAAAAAAACTGGAAGTGCCAAAGATGGGCAGACAAATTCTTATTGGGAAGTCATAACATAGGATATTGGGAGCCTAAAGTCATGCTGGGTCCTTAGCAGTGGCGGGCAATGCTACTCATGTTAGGGTAGGCAAAAATTTAAAAATGTGAGATGCAGAAAACAAAAATGGAGATGCAGAAAACAAAAATGGAGATGATCCGACATTGAGCCGTTTCGTTTCCTTAGTGAATCCTGACATGTTGCCTATTCACAAAACTTGATTGAGAATTGTCGCATCAATACATGTCGTCAATAAATCTCCTGTAAATTTCAGAATATCGCCACAGTTGTGTCGCATTTCACCAAAAAAGTAGCCGTAAATGTGATAAATCGCCACACCTGGCAACACCGTCTTCCGTATGCCCAATTATTATTGTTCGTAATCGCTCGGGTGGTGGAAATCCGTCCCGCTCTGTGTCGTCACGGCTCGAGTGTCGATGGCTTGCAGATCGAAAGCAATGCTTTTTCGTTCCATATTAAATTCTATTGATCAGCGCAATTGATTTGCTTTCATTTTGAATGGGATGCTTATTTGCTTACACAGAGTAGAGCCAAAAGGAAATTGTGTAAAAAACTCCCAGGCATCCAGATGACGAATGATCACGTCACTGTGACGTCCCTAATTGGTGATTTTTCGTCAGAGACGTCAAACACCAATTTATGACGTCACTATGACGTACTTTCTATGACGTGATAATCACGTCATCATCTCGACGTCGAGTGAACGTCACTTAGAAGGGTAAAATAAGACGTCAGTTTCATGACGTTGCAGGGACGTCCTGTCGACGTCCATGTTTCCCAGACCATATCTAAACCATGAATACTTACATTATCATGTGAAACCGTTAGGTTTGTGACGTACCTATATATACAGGATGGGCATTTTCAGTGTCAAAAAGTTTTCAGAAAAAATCGTTTCTTCATTAATATTACACACATATACAGGGTGTTTCACAGGTAAAGGGAAATATTTCAATGGTAGATAGGGGTCACCAAGGTGGTTCTGAAAATACCATATTTGATAGGTCTTGAATCTCCATAACGGAGATACAGGGCGATTCATCGATTTCGAATAATTATTCATTCGTCTATAAGTATTGAACTACCCAGTGTATTTTCTTTATATTTAGCTTCGTTTTCGAGAAAAAAAATTACAGCCACTGTATTGCATATCATGAACACCTGCATTGGAGGAATGTGTTTTTCATTATTTCCGCCAAAAATATAATTGACACTTGATATGTTGAAATTCTAGGAAATTTGACAAATAAAAGTTCAAAATTTCAACCAAATCGGTTCCAGGATATTCATGATATTTTATAATTACCGTTTTTTTTTCTTTAATTTCAACGCCCTGTATCTCAAAACCGAAGGAACTCCAGACATATGTTGATATGAACGTTTCTTCTTGAAATGACCGAACAAATCACCCCCTGCAATTAGGAACCATAGTTAGGAAACACCCTATACAGGGTGGCCCACGGTCGATGGTACCTTAGACGTAAACGGAAAACGGTACATTGGATTATCCTGAAAATTTGGTTACTTTAATAAGCGTTTGTGATCTAACGAATCAAAATATTTTCAGCGATGCAGCGTTGCCACTTTTACCAAAAAGTAGCATCATCTTTTGTTATTTCAAATGGAACACCCTGTATTTCATTGCGTTTTTAGATTCTTCTTGAAGAGTTGATTTCATCAATGCATCACACTTGGGGTCTAGCAGGAATTATTACAGAGATATAGGGTGTTCAAAATCGAGAT